TTTTAAACACCTCAGTGTCACTGCTGGACTGAGAACCAAAAATATCCAGCCAACAGCGTCCTGTGGGCAGCGTCCTGTGACCACTGATGAAGGACTAGAGGATGACCAACACAAACTGTGCAGCAGCAGATGAGCTATCGTCTCTGACTTTACTTCTACAAGGTGGACCGACAAGGTAGGAGTGTCTAATAGAGTGGACAGTGAGTGGACACAGTGTTTAAAAACTCCAGCAGCACTTCTGTGTCTGATCCACTCAGACCAGCACAACACACAACCACCACCTCAGTGTTACTACAGTGCTGAAAATGATCCACCACCCAAATAGTACCTGCTCTGTGAGGGTCCATGGGGGTCCTGACCACTGAAGAACAGGGTAAAAGGGGGCTAACAAAGTATGCAGAGAAACAGATGGACTACAGTCTGTAACTGTAGAACTACAAAGTGCACCTATATAGTAAGTGGAGCTGATAAAATGGACGATGAGTGTCGAAACAAGGAGGTGGACTTAACGGCTTAAGTGGCTGGTTTGTATGTAGATTCTAATCCAGTATATGTATTGTATTGATAACAGTAGGCCATACAGTGTCAGAACCCAGAGGGGAATATTGAGTAAATATGATTTTCTCTTTCATTTATTCCTTTAACCGAATGTCTCTGTGGATTTGGAGTGATGCCACGCTAATCGCGCTCCCACAGCAGCCCTGATTTGGCCACTCCTAGTATTAGGCTCATTATGTTTTAAGCTGTGCTGGTTTTGTTTGTGTGTCTTTTATATAGAACTGGATTTTCTTGTCTGTGCTGTGTTAAAGGTGACGGGAACTTAGAGTGGAATTAACTCTTGTGATGTTTGTCTTCTCAGTGAGCTCTTTCATATACGTCATCATGTGGTTTGATGCGTGGCTTGCCACATCATCAAAATGGGAAGAAATCTTTTGGGTCACACCACTAAAGAGTTCAGCATTTCTCCTCGTTTACTGTGTCTGATTTAACCCCTGGGCTGATTGCAGGGCACTTCGAGTCCATTTGGTTGTATTGGGACTTTTTCATGGGTTGCACTTGTAATGTTCTCCACAGTGATCAACAGTCTTTAACTTCCTGAGTTTATCTTTAATTTGTTTTTCATAGTTTGCCTGTTTTCCTACATTACGGGGGCAGTGATAGTGCTAGTTCAACGATAAATCAGATGTACTTAAAGTGTATTTAATCAGCCAGGACATATTTGGTGTCTGAATTTGGCTTCTTTATTTTTAGCACCCGGAGCTGCGAGGCTAATGTAGTTATAGCAGGGCAAATAAAGCTTATTCCCCACTAATTAGCCTGGTGCTAACTGCATGCCTAAATCATCACATTTGCCTCAGACCTTGATAATCTATGATAGACTTGATGATGTTGTTTAGGACATACTGTATTTATTAACATGGCACATTAGCATAGCATAGCTAAAAACAGTAACAGACGTTTTAAAGCCTGATGTTTTGTCTGTACTTTAGTCCAGTGGTTCAACCTTTTCCACCCAAAGGCCCACCTGTTTATACCTACAAAGCATAGCGGCCCACAGGAAAACTAAAATCAGCTTCTTAAAATACAATTTTCTTTCTTTTCTTTAATGCTGACACTGAAAACCTGAGAATTAAGGCTCAAAAACGATGTTTTTTTTCTAATTTCATTCTTGAGAAAATAGTTATGAAAAATCGCTGTTCTTCAAATAACTTCTTCAGAATTTTCGCTAACACTTTACTGTAGGGTGCTGTTCGTAAGGCTACATGACTCCTACATAAGCTTGTCATGACGCCTGACGTCCCCCTACATAAATGTTTATAAATGCTTGTGCTAATAGGCGTCATCTGCCATAAAGGCCACTTGAGGTAACTTTGATCAAAACTGACAATTGTTACCTTTAAAGCGAATTACGCCTGTTGGAAAAAGCAGTTATAAACTAGTTTTTATGACTTAGTGACATTATTGGCCCACTATGAACTGCCGCCTCCCCCTGAGAACCGGCCCGCGGACTACAAGAGAGTGCTTCACAGCCCACTGGTGGTCCTCGGCTCACAGGTTGAGAAACCCTGATTTAGGCCATGTTTATAGATAAGTGTGTCTTAGGCTGCGTTCACACAGCAGGTAAAAGTGGCCCAAATCTGATTTTCTCACCAGATCTGATTTTTTTTGTTTTGTCTGTTCAGATTATCTTTTAAATGTGATCACATCAGTCTGAACAGATCAGCTCCTAAACCGACCCACATGAGCAAAAGATCAGAGCATCATGCGGCTCATCCAGAGGTAAACAGTCATGACTGCCAGTGAGCGCCAGTCACTCCAGGAGGATCAGCTTCATCTTCACCAGCATCACATGAGCGATTATGAAGTTCCAATGATTGACAGCTGGGCTCATCACCCTGAATGTGTTCGAGTTCACCGTAAAAAGGGCTCGTTATTCGGCCACGGCCACTTCTTTGGTTCGTGTCCTCGGATTCCTTAAACTGTTCTTTGACGCTGCAGCCTCGGTCTCCTCCGGCCGCGTCCGGCCGTTCCGTTTGAACACGGAGCGGTTTGATGAGTCTCTTCTAATTTTTTGGTACAGAAACATCAGACTAAATGTTTATGAGTCTCAGCAGCGTGAAATTATGACGAACGTCGAGTTGGATTGACGTAAAAGTCGCATGAATTCCGATCTGGCTGTTCAGACTGAGTCGCATTGTCGCAGATCGGATACGGATCGGATTTCAGTACCACATATGAAAGCGTCTCAAATCTGAATTGAAAATGTCCGATTCAGTGTGTTTATCTGTTCACACTGACACACAGACACACATCTGTGTCACATATAAAGAAAAACATCGGATTTGGGCCACTTTTACCTGCTGTGTAAACGCAGCCTTACAGTATCATGTTCGTTTTCAGCTTTCTGTCACTCTAATAGCAGCCGCTTGACTCGGCGCTCCCAGATATCCTCGAAACTCATGTCATTTTAACATCGGTTAGCTGGAACCAAGCCTGTACTGTGTGGCACATCTGGCCTGCTAACTAAGCTATCGTTAGCGCAGGCACAGCGCTGCAGTCCCGAACACCACAGAACAGGTTCGATTGTGGCGTTCTGCCACTCTAACAGCAGTGACTCGACTCTGCTCTCTCAGATGTCCTCGAAACGCCTGTCGTTTTAGCATCAATTAGCTGGAACCGAGCCTGTGCTGTGCTGTGTGGCACATCGGGTCTGCAAACCACTACAGTCCCAGACATCGATTTCTGCTTTCTGTCTACCAGCCACTCCACTTTTACTCTCTCAGGCATTAGTTTAGATCATCTACACTTGCTTCAGCAGAGCAGCGGTCAGAACCAGACCTGTACTCTGGTGTGTGGCTCTGTTTGGGTGTGCAGCCTGGTTGCTAAGCTAACATCGTTAGCCGATCAGGCTACAGATCCAGACACTACAGAACAGGTTTAATTTCACCTTTCTGTCTCTTCAGCACCAGCCGCTCAATTTCACTCCTTCAGATTTGAGTCATTATCATCTAAACTTGTGTCGGTGCTCTAGTTAGCCAGAACCGAACATGCTTTGTGGTGAATGGAGCTGATATCATGATGGATAAGTTAATACTGACCAGCTACTCTCTCCTAGTTAGCAGCACTGTTTAACACTTAGCAGATTGTAGGTAGATGATTTAACATTTATTGAATGTTTGCTTAAAAATCACTGTGTTTACAAGTAAAATGAGTGGCCCAACCCTGCTCTGCTCACTCATACAGAGTGTCTGATATCTTGCTATCTTGTTTCATGCTAAGCAAGCCACATGTCAGGATTTTGTCAGTTCCATTCTGATTGGCTGTCTGCCCATCTGTGTGAATGCATTTCCTTGCACCAGTTTAATCTGTCTGATTTGATCTGTCACAGCTGTGCCCATGGTTACCTACTCTGTGCACCATGACGAGTCTTTCGAAGCAAGATATGGTGGCTGGATTGAGTTTTTTAAAGAAATTAGTAGCCATTTTGTTCCTTCTGAGTGTTTTTGTTGTAGACCTGTTTTAAAATCATCTGCCCCACTATGGCAAAATGATTTGGAGAAGATATTTGCGATGCTCTCCGCTTTACACTGCGTTCACACCTTCACATTTAGAAGTCAGAGATGTCAGGTCGAGAGTTTTTCACACCACATCGTATATCTTTATGCATTAACGTCACACACACGGACTCAAAAAGAAGCAAGATATGGTGGCTGGATTGAGTTTTTTTTTTAAAAAATTAGTAGCCACTTTATTCCTTCTCAGTGTTTTTGTTGGAGTTTTAAAATCATCTGCCCCAGTATGGCAAAACAATTTGGAGAAGATATTTAATTGTGATTTTTCTCACCAATGTTGTGACTACGATGGAATTGTGGTGACTTTTTCTGTGAATTAAAGTTCAGGCCTGTTTTTTTGGTCAAGAAGACAAGCTTATCCATTTTTTTTCCTGGTTGGGGGGTTAACCACTGAATGTAGAGTGCCAGACTGCCAGACTCTACAGAACACATGGGTATTTAGTTACTTCTTGCAGGTCTGAATCGTCTGCATGCAGTTAATGAACTCTGTTTGTTGGCTTGAAATTTTTTTCCACTTAAAAGTTGTCAAGACGAAGGTGTTGATAATTTAGGTTGTTGTGATTTGTAAACTGCGTTTTTTCAAATTACGATTTTGATATAAAAATCAAGCTTCCAGCCCTGCCCTCCCCGTCAGTCAAAAACATGGGTAGTGGTTGCTTATTTTGCAGAATTAAGCAACAAAACGCAACAGAACTCTCTGACGATACACAGTAGTCTGGCTTACGGGGCCAAATGAGTGATAATTCAGCAGTTAACATGATGATAATTGGTGGGATGTAAGTTTCTATTATTTGTGAGGTACATCAGACGTTAAACATGACTTGTGTGAATGACTGTGTAAGTATTAAAGAGAGGAAAACTGTGTAAATGTGATCTTTAAGACTTTAAGACTTGTGATGAGTCTAAATAGGAAATGTTTCCCTGTAGATTTACCCGCTGCTGAAAATGGCTCATCGTTGGGACCGCACACCCCGGACCACCCAAATGGCCCTGTGCCTCACTACTGCCTCCCCAGCTACAGTCCTGCCTTGCTCACCAGCACCCCTTGTGGCGAGGAGGACCAGTGCAGTGTGGCCTCGCAGGACTCCGGAATCCCCACGCTGGAAATAAACCCCCCCGAACACGTCCACGTCCAGCCCTTCAGCCCGAGTGACGATGGCCCTGCCACGCTGACGCTGGAGTCCTCGGACGGAACTTTGCACAAGTCCTCCACGTTTCCCCGCAGCAGTCTGGAGTGGCGCCTCTTCAGCCCCCCCGGCGGCGTCCGCGCAGGGGGCGGAGCTTTGAACCGCAGCGACGAAATCTCCGTCTGCAGCGTCTCCAGCCTGAGCACCGAGCTGTCGGCCACGCTGTCGCTTAGCAACGATGACATCGTCGACTTCATGGTCACGTCGGACTCCAGCGCTGTCGTCACCTTCGAGAACAGCAGCGACATGGTCGTCAGTGCCTCGCGGTTCTCGGAAGTGTCACTGCCGCCCTCTGACGACCTGCCGCAGAGCCAGCAGGGGGCGCTGACGCTGGAGGAGTTGAGACCGAAGAGGACGAGTCCCATCATGAGCTTCATCAACAGGTAAAACAACGCACTTGTACCATAAATCCAAGTGTTAGGTTCTGTTTTGTTTCCCTTCGTTTTGATGAGGTTTGTTGTAATTGAGGACGCATTTGGGGAACCAGGGTTCTGCCAATGTAAGCAAAATGGCCAATTATTATTATTTATGGTTTTTTTTGTTGTTTTTTTGTTTTTTTAATGCAGCAACAGGTTTTGACACACATACATGAACACAAACATGCAGATTTTTTATTGTTACAGTTTCAGCCTGGACTGCTTTTTGAATGAGACACAGCCAATCAGAACAGAGCTCATTTACATATATCAGCTGTAAAGGCACAGTAACAAAACCATCTTGTTTAATTCTAAGGCTGGGCCCACACTACACGATCTTTTGCCCGATTTGCCCCCTGCCACAAATTTTCACAATCTGAAGTGATTCTCCAGGTCGTGAGCTCGATCGGAAGCGTCTGACGGTGGAGATGATCCGTAGTGTGAGAGGAGAAAGGAGTGAATCTTTAGACTCCAATCAAACTCTGGAGTGATCAGAGATCCTCCGATATTATCAAACATGTTTACGACTCAAAATGAGTCCTGCAGTCTGAGAAGGTCGGAGATTTACTCACTGAGTGATTCAAACAGCCAATCAGAGAGCTGGAAGAGCGGAGAGACAGGAGAAGAGACGAGCTTGAACAGCGGAGAGGAGACAAAGGAGCTGTGTTTGAAACACAGAGCCGAAATCATGTTTATAATGTTGATCCAGATCAGGTCGCTGTCTTTACAGTTTCAGCTCAGCTGCCAGTTTGTAGTGAAATGTTTCTCCAGCTCACTGTGATTCAGCGCTTCTCACCACCGATTCATCCCCAGTTTGAGCTTTCACTGCTCATAAAAGCCCAAACAGGTCCAGTAAGTTCAGCTCTGTCTGTGTCGTGAGATCTGAGGAGATCTGGGAGTTTGAGTTCTTATTCGGAGCCCAAACTCGTTGTGTGTGTTGTTCTCTCTCTTTGCTCTGTTGTCTAGTCTGAGCGCCTCACAACAAAACGACACATTCTTTGACAAACTGACGCTGAGTTTGCAATGCTCTCCGTTTTACACTGCATTCACACCTTCACATTTAAAAGTCAGAGGCGTCGGGTCGAGAGTTTTTCACACCACATCGTACGTCTTTACCTATTAACGTCACACACACAGACTCAGAAAGAAGGTCCGGCTCGATGTTCACGCCTCAAAGTGATAGATAATTCACTCACATCCTCAGAGACGCATCCCTCACCAAGTTTAGACTGAGTTCTCTTTGGAATCTCTTTAAAACAGCAGATTCATCCATGCGTGGGTATCAGAAGCACCACCGACTACAGAGAACTTGTAGAGAGGAGAATTCCCACTCTGCAATGTGGGCTCTTAAACCGGCTCTGCCGATGATACCAAATGTTCCTCCGCATGTTGCGTGCAATTACACGTTTGCACCAGAGAGGTCTCCAAATCCCCAAATCTTACATAGCGCTTCTTTAATATTCCTCTAGGACGTCTGTATCCCTTTTAGGGAGATAATTCGTTGTTATTGGAGATATAGTCACTTGCAGAGGCACCCATCTCTCTCTCTCTCTCTCTCTCTCTCTCTCTCTCTCTCTCTCTCTCTCTCTCTTTCTCTCTCTCTCTATTTTTCTCTCATAGGAATCTTTTTTCCAAGAAGCTGAAGGGCGTGAGTGCTGCAGATGGTCACAGAGAGCCGGGCTGGAGGCTGTTTGGTCGAGTTCCTCCCTCAACCAGAGACCCCAAAACAGCGCTGAAGGTAAGGACTCCTCTTTTTCTCGCTGTTGAGACTGTTTTCTCACTTCCTCACAGTCTATGGACTGTGCAGCTGGTCTCTGTGGACCTATTGGAGATGTACACTTAATGGTAGTCAAACTTAGTGTTGTTGGAGTGGTTATCGGCGTAGAGATGGCCTCTGTCTCCTCTCACGGCCCGTGCACTGCACTTTAGTGTCTTTCTGCTCTTAAAATGACGGGGCTTGGAAATTAGCGCTGTGGTGGTCCGTCTAGTGCTGTGGCGGTCCATCATCAGGCCCAATAAACACTGTTTTAATGATAATTGGAGAGAGACGGGTCAGGAGCGGCTTGTGAAGGTGTGTGTTAAAAGCAGTGAAGCGATTCCGTCCAATTTGACACGACCTTTTAGAGACTTTGAACAAAATAATTTTCCTGCCCGACAGTGATTTACACAGCAGTTTAACATCTGTTAAGATGGGGTTTCACTCTACGACTTTAACCCCGATCTTAGCCCCGATTCTCAGTCTGGCTGGGTCTGAGCTGGTCGGCTCTGGTCTGCAGATTTTTGAGTCGACAGTTGGAGAGAGAGTCGAGTCGTGTTTGAGAGGCACAGACTCAGATTTTTGGCCTCCCGTAATGCTGATCTCACAGAGCACCGAGTGCGCTGACCTGATTTTGTTTAAACTGAGGGCTGAAAACTTATTTTCTTATCTAGAACCGGGCTGATCAGCTAGCTAACAGGCTAAAGGAGCAAACTGCCTGAAAACCTCCATCATTAGTATCACAGGCTTGAATTAAAGTACTCACAATATGATTTACTGTCAAACGGCGAAAAAAGTTTCAAATCGGTCAGTGGTTGCTTAGCAACGATACCATCAGGGATGGGGGAGTGGCTAAGTAGTGCGCTACTTTATTTAGTCAGCTACACATTTTTGTAGCTAGTAGCTGTAGCTCCCACAGATTTTTTCTGTAGCTATGGTGATAATTTTCTCTACAATTTCGCTACAGGCTTCGGACAATCCGCTCAAAATCTGAACCCACAGAACGCGGCCGTTAACTGGGCTGGTGCCGATTGTGCAATCCTGACTGAGCCACGGACAGTTAGAGCAAACGGTCACGCGCTGATCACCTCTTACTAGTAGGCTTAGCTGAGGGGTCGCAACCCAAATGTTAATGAAACCGCCTTGGGAGCCACAACGTTTTATGTCCATCTTACCATCGCGGCTGTAAACATGTCTCAGTATGTGCTGATAGTTCAGGATAAAAATATAAACACAAGCTCAGACTTACTCTGCTCTGCTTTAAGCTTTAGCTCAGCTGTAGCTGCTTTTCTCTCATCTCAGGAAACGTCTCAGAGTTTCTTATAAAACGTCTCTCAATGTTCGACTTCTTACGAGACTGAAGTCGCTTCTCATTCTCCTGCTTCTCGACCGAATTGTCCCGTTCCACCTTAAATGGCGCAGCAGTACAATCTGGCACCTACGGCGCCATTTAAGGTGGAACGGGGGAATTCGAATGAGAAGCTGGAGGATGAGAAGCGACTTCAACTTCGCGAGGTGTTGCAGATTAAACGAATGAAGAAACCAGCTGAGTGATTATAAACACAAATAGTCCATTCATCTCCAAATGATCGATGTTCGTCTTAAATCTCTCTCTTTGCCGTTTCATTATCTGCGTTGCTATGGTGACCAGCAGTCTGTGCGTCAGGCTTCAGCGTTAAAGGGTGAATCAGCAGTTCTACATTAACTCCAGCGTTTAAGACAATTTATTGTGAAAACTGTGTTAGAACTGTGTGTTATAAGGATTTTACAGTAAAGGAGGATTATAATGTTATTTTAGCTAAAAATCCAGTTCTGCTGTGGAGCCTCAGCAGCTCTGCAGCAGTGGAGAGATTATTCAGGCCTGATTCACCCCAAACAGAGTCAGAGTCACAGGATTTTGAGGCTAAAGTGTTACTGAAGTTTAACAAAGAATGTCTGTAAATGTCTGTAAATATCTTGCTGAAATGTTTAAATTGGAGCAGTTTTATTTCGACCGTTGACAGTGCTCTGCACTAAATTGTTTGGTTTGTATTGAGAGTAAGAAAGAAGAAAATACAGCAAGTAAACCAGAAATGTGGTGAAAAGTCTCTCACGTGTGGAGCGAAGCTTTTTAATGAGCTGAGTTTAAGACTCAGTCGAGTTTATATAAATTTAAAACTCTAAAAATACCAGCTGACCACATTTTTAAACATTTAGATTAGATATTCTCTATTCGCATCACTAAAAATTCACATATTATCAGTTTTGACCGTTCATCACCCAGATGTTGTCTGTCTGTCTTTCTTTCTTTCTTTATGCTCTCCCTCTGTCTCTCTCTCTACCTCCCTCTTTGTTCTGTTTGTCTCTCCTTGTTCTGTCTCTCTCTCTCCCTCTCTCACACCCTTCCTCTCTCCATCTCTCTCCCCTCTGCACTCTCTCTCTGTCTCCTTCTCTGCTCTGTCTGTCTGTCTCTTTGTTCTCTCTCTCTCTCTCTCTCTCTCTCTCTCCCCTGCTCTCTCTCCCCTCTGCTTTCTCTCTCTCCTCTGCTCTCTCTCTCCCCCCTCTGCTCTCTTGCTCTTTCTCTCTCTGTCTCTCTCTCTGTTCTCTCCCTCTCTCCCTCTCTCTCCCTCTCTGTCTCTCTCTCTCTCTGTTCTCTCCCTCTCTCTCTCTTTCTCTCTCTCTCCCTCTCTCTCCCTTTCTCTCTCTCTCTGTTCTCTCTCTGTTCTCTCTCTCTCTCTCTCTCTCTCTCTCTCTCTCTCTCTCTCTCTCCGTTCTCTCTCTTTTTTTTTCTCTCTCTCTCTTTTTTCTCTCTCCATCTCTCTCCCTCTCTCTCCCTTTCTCTCTCTCTCTCTCTCTCTCCTCTCTCTGTATCAGTGTATCAGTGTCAGTAATCTGAGTGAGAGATCAGGTGACTGTTTGTTTCCACTCGTTTGAGCTCCATAGTAACGGCCCTGGAGCTGAAGCTGATGATGTCGCTCAGCTTTAGAGGTGTTTACCTCTCAGCGCTGCTTCTCTGGCTCATTTTGAACGTGTTTACTTGCAGCTAGTGAGAGTGAACGTCTGTGAAATGAGAGAGAAATTACACACAGAGTACAAGTCCAGAACACTGATTACTTAACTGCTAGTTACATCAGTCTGTTCTTCACAGAGGAATTCGTCTGTAATGAGGGTGGAGCGACTTCCACGAGCTGTGTGAACGACAGTGGCAGGCTTCGACTATTGACTAGAACTGGGCAATGTGGCAGAATGTAATATCATGATACTTCACAAAGTTTCTTTACGATACACTGTGTGTCTTGGTATTTGGACAAAGTAGAGCCACATTTTACAAACACTATCAAAACTATGAATCCAGTCACTTGTATTCAATATTTCACACTCTGTGCTGCACTAAACCCCATTAAACAGGACTAACAATGCTTTCTTTTTAATCAGACATGCAGTTAGGAAGTGATTTAAGCACCACAGTAGGCTCAGAAAATATTGGTGTAGTGAAGTAATTTATAGTGATGTAATTTAATGATGTAAATAGTGATGCCAAGTATTGTCTTATTGCCCAGCTGCCGTGCTATTGACTGCATATAAGATATACAGTGAGGTGGAAACAAGTTTGTTTTTGTTTTCATCCAGTACACAGATCATTTTTATTCATTTATTTTTTTGATACATTTTTTAGTTTATTTTGTTTGGCAAACATCTCCTCTGTCTGTATGTTAGACATGTCTCATGTTTGGGTTCTGCATTCAGGATAACCTTATTAAAAGATAATAATCCTCCTGTATGGCCGTAACACAACATCCTCCTTTTTAAAAGGGAAAATGTCTTTCTTTTGCATCAAATTACAGCAAAAAAATGCAGTTTATCTCAGTTAACTATGACAGATTAATCATGTTTAATTGTTTTCATCATTTCTCTGTCTTACATGACGACAGAAGTGTTTCTGCGCTTGGAGCAGTTAGCAGGTTAGAGAGTTCCGAGCATGTTTGTTGTGCTTGCACATCAGAAGTGAAGGAAATAAGAGAGAGAGACTCTGAAGAAGAAGAGATAAAGAGAAGAGCAGCGGCGGGAATCGGAGCGTTTAATGAGAGGAGCGCTCGTCTACGAGCCCCAGGCATGACGAGTCGATCACTGAGCGGAGCGGTTCTGCAGGGCAGGACTTTGCGTTCTTCCAGCGGCTGTTGATTAGCGTGACTGGGGTGGGGGGGGGCGGTGGAGACCCTCTGAGAGCGCAGACACGATGACTAATAACAGAGGAGAAGATCTGCTGCGTTTCAGTGATGCAGAACCTCCTCCCTGCACGGCGTCACAGCACACACCGAGAGAGAGAGAGAGTGAGAGAGTGAGTGTGTGACACAGCAGTAGAGGCTGGGAGAGACAGAGCGTGACAGAAAACAAAAGGAAAAGAGGGAGAGAGAGATGACATTAGAACCTGGGAGAGGAAGAGCGTGACAGAAAACGAGAGAGAGGAAATGATACGGTGATGGAAGCTAGGAGGGAGAGAGAGAGAAAGCAGGAGAAGAAGAATGACACAACAGTAGAATCTAGGGAAGAGAAAGAGAGGTAGAGAGAGAGAGAGAGCACTATAGAAACTGGGGAGAGAGAGCACAAACAGCAGGGAAAGGAGAGACAGAGTGAGAGAGGACAGGAGAGAGAAAGCCGGAGAGATGATACAGCAATAGAAGCTGAAATAGTGAGGGAGTATAAGAGAGAGAGAACGAGAGAGGCATTAACATAAGCTCGGAAAGAGAGCGTGAGAGAAAAGAGATGAAAAACAAAGGGAGAGAGAGAAAATGACACGGTGGTGAAGCAGGGAGAGAGACAGAATGCAGAAGAGAATGATGCAGCAGTGGAAGCTGAAAGAGTGAGAGAGGGACAGAGAGCTGTAGAAGCTAAGAGAGAGTGAACAGGAAAAAAGGCATATAGCAATAGAAGCTAGGGGAGAGAGAGAGAGTGAGCGAGCAAAAGAAAAAGAAGAGAACGATACAGCAGAAGCTGAACGAGTG